AGTGGTGAACTAGTATTTTCTAGCAGCTTAACTAGTATTCAAGGTCTGCCTTAAGCATCACGTTCATTTAAGACCCAGCTGTATACTGGGCCGAATGGATAACAACAATTTGAAAGATTAGATCGGAACCTTAGAGCGCTGTGAATTCCTGATCATGGGGTGGGCCCACTCGGAGCAGGAGGGTGAGAATGGCAATACAGTTGGGAGGAAGTCCCTGATGGCACTCAATGGCTCATACTGAATCTGGCGGATGTTTTCCTGTGCATATTCTCAGGGACATCAACCACAGAATTAAACAAACAGACCCCATCAGATGAGAGCCTAAGAACCCCCTGGGGCAGCTCCATCCTGCCCTGTAGGGAGCTTATGCATTGGAATTGACTCGGCATGCAGCAGCAGCAGCAAGATGCTGTTTGTATTCAAATAGGACAGTCTCCTCCTACCGTCCTCGGTACCATCCAGCCTCGCTAAAGGACATGCGGAGGTCAGAAGGGCAGCTAAGGGCACACATGAACCTGCCCTCTGGGCAAGCTCCCTCCGGGTTTTCTGTTTTTCCTCTCCAAAATCCTGATAAGGAGCATTTGCTGCATCCTGCGCTGGAGAGAGGCGGGCTTTCTACTCCCAAAATGAGTTACAGTCTCAGAAACTCACAGGAGCAGTTCTGCCCTGACCTGTAAGGTCCCGGGTCGCTGTGGGTCTGGGTGGACTTGATGGCAGTGGGCGAGGGGCCCTTCCTATAAAGCAGATGTTCTTAGTGTATGCTGGGAGAGAATAAGAGCGGTCAAGTCCCTTCTCCAAGAGCACACAGCGATTCTTGTCACAGCCAGCCATGCTGTTGACCTCGATGCTGCTTGCAAATCTTAAAATTCTGTGTGCATCCTGGCTGCAGGAGAAAGATGGGGCTTTCTTACTCCTGTGAACAGTGACAGCTTCGGAAATGCCCAGAGGCAGTTCTACGCTGTCTTGTAGGGTCACTGTGAGTCCGAATCAACTCGATTGGCAGTGGGTTTGGTTGGTTGGTTGGTTGGTGCATCCTAGGAGCTGCTAGGGAGGGAAGAGAAAGGTAAATATGAAGCCTGCTGAGGATCCATTCTAATCTCTTGTCCACTTTTCTCCAAGGCAACGCGGCTCCAGCGTCCTTGCCAACTGTCCTAAAAAGCAATGGTTTTGGCTGTCCAGGTCTCCTCTCTAATTGGAGCAGCAGCTGGTCTTTGCAGAGAGCCAGGCATTCCATGAGCCTATAATCGAGGGCCCAGCACTCTGGCTTGAAGGACCAGCTGGCTGCACCTCCCTGGGGAGCATGTAGACAGAGCAGCATTCTTATCCGCAGTGATGCACCCAATTAGAAGACCCAGGAACACGATTTTGCTGACAAGCCCCCAAGGGGAATCTGAATCCCAGTTAGCACCCCTTCCTTTACCAGCTGTAATGGACTTGACACCAGTGTATGTCAGAGAACTGGGCTCTATTAATTCCAGAAGTGGATCACCAGGCCTTTCTTCTGAAGTGCCTCGGATCAGACTCGACGCTCTCACCTGAGTTGGTTAGCAGTCTAGTGCTAGCCCTTTCCACCACTCAGGGATTTGGTGTCTTTCTCTAGTGTTCTGCTTCCATTGGGAAGAGAGGGGGCACCCGCTCTGCCCCCTCCAAATGCTGATGCCTATGGAACTCCTGGAAAAGGGAGGGCAATATACCTCCTCCCCAGGCAACCATCCTGGGGCTGACGAGGGACCCTTTGTCTTTGCACTCTCGGAATCCTTCCTCCAGATCCCCGAATGTAAACCAGGCTGATACACTGGAGCTCAGAACACACTTGGCTGCAAAAACCCGCCCTGCCTCATTCGCCTTGTTCACCCTTTGCACATCACAGATGTCACAACTGTTGGGTTTGATCCTGGGGGGCTGCTGCTTCAGGCACTGAAGGGACATGCACACATACCCTCTCTGAAATCCCAAACACTCTCAAGTCTGGCCCTGCTGGTGTCAGGTAAGGGGTGACAGCCCTGTGGTTTTGTCACGTGCCTGACCTGAAATGCAGGACAGGTTGGTCACCTTAAAGCCAACTTGCTTAGAGTCTCATAGAAAGTCTCTCCAGGCTTCAGTGGGTAGACCATGAGGCCTAGAAGTCCATTAGTAGAAGCTGCATCCTATGCTCTCGCCCCCCCCCACCCCCCCCGCAGGTGGAGGAAGTCAGAGCCACCATCAGACAGGCTTGTCCATTCAGTGTCTCTGCAGGGGAAGAGAAGCAGTGGCATCTTTCTAGAGGGGGGACTATAGGAACAGGACAGTGTCCAAATCACAACTTCTAGGGTAGGTAGTCCAGAGGACAGCCTGAAGGGTAGGCAGGCAGGGTTGGGGAGATACTGATGCAGTGCTGGCCATGCCAGCAGCCCCCCACCCCCCAAACCAGAGAGCAGCTATCTAGGCAGTGCTGTGTCTAGACACACAGCCACCTCCTGTGTTACACAGTAGAGCTGTCCATCGAGTTTTCTTTTTCTTTTTAATAAATCATTTTATTGGGGCTCGTACAGCTCTTACAACAATCCATATATCAACTGTATCAAACACATTTGCACATATGTTGCCATCATCCTTTTCAAAACATTTTCTTTCTACTTGAACCCTGGGTATCAGCAACTCTTTTTGCCCTCCCTCGCCCACCCTCCCACCTTCATGAACCCTTGATAAACGATACATTATTATTGTTTCCATCTCTTACACTGTAGTTCGCTGTCTCCCTTCACCCACGTTTCTGTTGTTCACCCCCTGGGAGCGTTATGTGGTTGATCACTGTGATCAGTTCCCCATTTCCTCTGCTCCACAGAGTTTTCTTGGCGGTGAGGTGATCTTCACAGAAGCAGATGGCCAGGCCTCTGCAATGCAGCATGAACTATGTGCACACCTAGGGACAGTGCAGCCATCTAATGGCCTTCAAACAACATAAAGCCCTTTCCTTGGCAGAGGTCACCCAGTGCCGTCTGGGATGGGACCAGGGGCAAGCCTCCGCATTTGCTTTTCAGCTCTTACTGCAGATGTCCAGTGGGGACAGACTGCTACCTTCCCAACGGGGACACAGGACAGTGGGTGGGGGTGGTGAGGCCGTCAAAACAGGGTTACATACTTGGAGTCAATTTAAAGGCGTGCGCGTACCATGCATCCCCCTCCCCACCACCAGGCTGCTTTGCACCCCCCCGGGGGGCGGGGCGGGGTGGAGTGCGAAGCAGGCCTGCAGACATCCCCCACCCCTAACTCTGGCGGAGTGCTCACACCACCCCCTGGCGGCGGCGGCTGGAACGGCAGGAGCGCGCGGCTGGCGGTGGGGGTCTTGCCGGGGTCCCCCAGCCCATCCCGGACCTCGCGGCGGCGCAGGCAGCAGAGGGTTAAGCTGTCAGCGGCGCGATGTTAAACAGGTGTCAAAGGCGCCACATATATCTGCAGATTGAAATCAAATTCTTTGCCGTATAAAAAGATAAATTACCCAGGCGCTGCCGCGCGTCCCACTCATCTCGCCAGCGCCAGACGGCAAGCAATTTTTTTTTTTTAATGTGCTAACGACCTAATCAAGCAATCAAGTCGAAGAAGATTGCAGAGTGACCCGGGCAGCCATCTGCCGGCGAGCCCCGCATTCATTCCCGCGCCCCCCGCGCGGGCGGGAGCGGCCGGGGGATGAGATGGGGAAAAATCCTAAACAAATTAACACCCAATTTTGCCCGTCTAATTAGTTAAATGAGAAGTGTTGGGGGTCCCCGGGGAGAGGGCCCCCGGTGCGCGGCGTGGCGCGTGCGGCCTCCCCAGCATTAATTAGTGCGGGTCAATGCCGCCGCTCCCGGGAGAGCCGCCGCTTTAATTTCCCGTGATATTTCAGAGCCTGAGGCCCATCGATTCAAACTGAAATTAACTTATTTTTCAATCAGCCCAGGGCTGCCCCTAGGGGCGACTCTTCTTTTGCCGCCTCCTGAATAGGGGCCCGAGCAATTTTTCACGGAAAGCTGATACCTGCGCCGCCGAGGGCGGGGGGGCGGGGCGGCGGCCCGCAGGAGGGGCCCCAGGCTCAGGATGGAGGTCGCCCAGGAAACTAATAGGTTTTCCTGAGCCAGCCTCGTCCCTCCCTCGCCCCGCGCCACGGCTGTCCCCGGGGTCGGGGTCCCAGTGAGGAGGCCTGGGGTCCTCCCAGCACCCACCCAGCACTTTCCCGCGGGTCTGTCACCACCTGGACACTGCCAGTGACGGAAGTCCCACGCAGCAGCCACTTGGGTGACCAGGAATCCCTCCCCCCATCGTGGAAAGCATCCTGAGGTCTCCTCCACAAATATGTCTCGATCCGTAGCCACCCCTAACGTACCGGGTTCTCCAGGACACGCTGCACTGGTCAGCCATCGGCCTGAGAAACATCCCCCTAGCGCCCCAGCCTGAGCTCCCCACCGCGTTTGCTCTCCCAGTTTTGTCTTCCCTCTGGATCCCCTAAGATCACTGAGTTGGGCAAGATTGGGGTGGGGGGGGTGCAACCCAGGGCGAGGGGCGGAGGGTGGCGGCAGGGCGTGGCCAGGGCAAGGAGACTTTGGGGCAGACCCCAAGGCCTCCAGAGACTCAGATGAGCTGCCCCAGTGGTACCTACCGCCCTTGGCACCCACACTCCCCACGGGGACCGCCTTCCCGCACTGCTGTGGCCACTGGGTTTCTAGGCTGTTCCGAACCAGAGACAGCAACTGGGCCAGATCCGGGAAAGGCCTTCGTGCCTCCGCATGTCAGGAAGGAAACTCTGGTGTTACCCTCTGGGTAACAGAGAGTAACCTGGGCAGACCCTGGGCACTCCATTTCCCTGGCACTGTTTAGATAAGACCCTTTTCACCCACCCTGTCCTCAAGGCATTTCCGGGCCTCACAAGCCTTCCTGGGGTGGGCGGGCTAAGGGAAGGAAGCCCTACTGGGAAACCACAGGTGGCAGGTGCAGACGTGAGGTGCCATCAGGCAAGCCTCTCACCTGCCTGCGTGCACCGGCAGGTCTGGTTCCAGAACCGCAGGGCCAAGTGGCGGAAGAGGGAGAAATGCTGGGGCCGGAGCAGCGTCATGGCGGAGTACGGGCTCTACGGCGCCATGGTGCGGCATTCCATCCCCCTGCCCGAGTCTATTCTCAAGTCGGCCAAGGACGGCATCATGGACTCCTGTGCCCCGTGGCTGCTGGGTAAGACCCCCGCACCCTCCTCGTGGCCCTGCCCCTGTGGCCAGGGGAGCGGGCTGCATGGATGAGGGGCAGTGTGCCCTCCAAAGCAGGCCTCCCCGTCTACCTCAGGGGACCAGGGGACAGGGACAAGTGGGCAGGGGGGGTCTGGGGCTCCTGATAGCATGTTTGTTGGTCCTAGGGAGGTGGGTTCCTGGTGATGGACGTGTGTCCCCTAGGGATGAGGGGAAGCCACCATTCTGACTTCTCCCTAAATCTCTCATGTCTCACCGTGCATATGTGATAAGAATCCCTGGTTCTAAGACCCAGAACACCAAAAGGGTGGGGTGCGGGAAGGCACCGGTACAGGCGGCCCATGGACACAGGTGCCCAGGGACTTGGCATGAGCAGCCCCCTCCGGGCCTGGCTTCCCACTGCCAGCCTGCAGCTCCAGCCCCTGGTCAGCTCCCCTCCCGGCCCGGGTCTTGCATGACTGCGGTGTGTGAAGTAAGGCTTTCTGCTCCTCCTTAATTCTGGCCTCTCTCTATCTTTGCCGTTTTCAGTTCAAGATGGCTTTCCCAGGCGCTTTTCTAAACCCGAATACCAACAATTCTTTCTAGGGATGCACAAAAAGTCGCTGGAGGCAGCAGCCGAGTCGGGGAGGAAGCCCGAGGTGGAGCGCCAGGCCCTGCCCAAGCTTGACACGAGGGAGCAGGAGGAGCGGGGCCCTGACCCCCAGGCGGCCATCTCCCAGGAGGCACTGAGGGAGAACAGCATTGCAGCACTCCGAGCCAAAGCTCAGGAGCACAGCACCAAAGTGCTGGGAACTGTGTCGACTCCCGACAGCCTGGCCAGGAGTGCCGAGAAGCCGGAGGAGCAGGAGGCGGCAGCCGAGGAGGACATGGACCAAGACAGGCCCACGGAGAAGCTGAGTGCACTGCAGCTCCAGGACATGGCTTAGGTCAAGGGCCACTCAGGCCGTGGCCCCAGACTCTGCTTATCTCCAGTGGTGGTGCAGGGAGTTCTCCCAGCCTCAACTGCTCCCCCCCCCCCAAGCCCCACAGGCCTCCCATAACCCCTTGGGTGACTCCAGGCACAGCTGAGTGCTGGCAGAGGCTTTGGACCGTGTGGAAATCTCTCTCACCAAGTCCTGACCTCTCTGGCACTCTCTTCATCCCAAGAGCCTTCTTGCTGCCGATACCCTTACCCCTTCAAGCCCCTGGCAATTCAATCCGTCCACAACTCTCACTGTTCAAATCCACCCCTGAACTGTTTCTTGCCTAAAGAGCCCTGCTTTGCATCCCCTCGGCCCTGTGGATTCTGCCCACCCATGCACATGGCCCCAGATGCACTGCCTGCCACGCCGGGCCCTGCCTGAGATGCAGCACCCAGGCCTCAGCAAAAGGCTGCTTCTATGCTCAGGCTGATCCCTCTTCTTGGCGACCAGGGCGTGGGCTTCAGACCCAGGCAAGACTTCTGCTCCACCCCTTCCCAGACGTAGCCCCTCAGCCTCATGTCCTGGCATGGCCACTCTGCCCACAGTTGCCAACTATGTGGCATCAAAACCTAGTACCAATAGGAGCCCAGGCCTTGGTCCTGCCCAGGGACCCCTCTCATAAGGCCTTGGTGGCTCACTGCCCTGGTGGGGAGCCCCAGCCTTCTCCTCAGGTCTCTGTGGCCCTGTGTCTGTCTGTGGTCCGAAAGCATCCAGACTCTCCTGATGAGGGCCCCGCCTTGCTGTGCAAGAACCCTTCCCCTAGCGCTCCCTCCAAAGGATGGCTTTGCATGTGCCCCGCTGTGGAGCAACCCAATCTAGTGGTTCGATGATCACCTAGGAAGCTTAAAGCCATGCCCCAGTGCACTCTGGGCTGTCCCAGGGAAACTGTACCTGGTGTTGGGCTGGAGTTAAAAATATTCATAAGGCTGTAGGCAATCACTGGAAGGAGAGCAAGCCAGGCAGCCTGCAGAAAGTGGAAAGCAAGCAGGGTACACTGCGCATGTGCACCCACTCCCTCTCTCTCTCTCACACACACACACACACACAGCGTCATGCCAGGTGCATGCCATGATGCGTGTCTGTTATAGGAAGATAGACGGCTTAGCCATATTGGATTCAGGCACTGTCTGGAGATGGAGGACCTCTGGGCACCAATGGCCCGTCCCTCCCCAAACTTGTCATAGGAACAACAGTCCCCGATTTCCAGGCCAGGCACAAGACCACCCTCCCAATGACATGCCCCTCTACTACCCACCATCTCTGCAGGGAAGACCTCTTAAAAGATAGGCTTGAGATAGTGAGTTGAAATTTGATTTCTGTATCAAACGTTGATTTCTTCATTCTGTTCAGGGGACTTTCCCCTCAGTTCTTGTCTTTGCTGCCCGTGGGTTAGAAGGGTCAGATGGTAGCCCCTAGTGTGTAAATAGTGTACATACAGCCAGAAGAAAGAAACTTGCTATGGAGGGGTTTGAAATACGAACTAACTGTAATAACTTCTAGGTATTCTCAAGCTGTGATTTCTGTGTCATTTTCTGTAAAGATACAAATAAGAATAAAATTAATGTAAAAACAGCAGGGGAGGGGTCTGGGAGTCCTCCATGGGTGAGGACAGGGTGTGTGTGTGTGCGAATGTGTGCACAAAGTGAGCCCACTGGGTCATTTCCACTCAAAATCACCCAGTTTGTCTTTCTAGAACAGGGCTAGTGGCCTACCTCCATCTAATGGACACTACCCTTCGGTAGCATTTGTCACTGTAACTTGGGGTCCTCCAATTTAAATGCCCCTAAGTTGTGACCTATGTCCCTTTCCTAGCCCCACACAATAATGACATTTACTTTTCTTTCTGGTACTTAAACCAAACTTGCTGCCATCAAGTTGATTCTGACTCATAGCAACCCTATAGGACAGCATAGACCGGCCCCTGTGAGTTTCTGAGACTATAAATCATTGTTTCCCAACTTCTTTGACCTACCATCCCCTTTTCAGGAAAAAAAAAATTAAGCAATGCCCCTGGCAATTAAAAACGTTTTTGCTACAGCCCATAATCCAGGGTAAAGTGCATGTATTGCTTTTGCAGCAACACCTCCCCTCCCCCGCCAATCATTCCAGTGCCCCACCCACACAGGGCAGTATTGCCTACTTTGGGAAACACGGATGTGAATCTTGACAGGAGTAAAAAGCCTCATCTATCTCCCTCCAAGCAGCTGGGGGTTTTGAACTGTTGGCTCTGTGGCTAGCAGCCCAACTTGTACATCCACTACACCCCCAGCGCTCCAGCTGGGGCTCACATCCTTCTGAATCGACCACACTTCTGCAGCTTTGATGACACCAGGGTGCTCCAGAGAACCAGATCTGAACTAAGGGGCTATCCAGAGAGAGAACAACAACAAACGGGAGGGGGAAGGGAGCAAGAGATTGATTAATGTTGAGGAATGGGCTCACATGCTTGTGGTGGGGACTGAGCATCCAAGATGTGTGGGCAGATCCAATCCTTCCCTTGCAGGAAATCTGTTTTTGCTCTTCAGTGCTCCACCCGATTGGCTGACATCCCCCCACAGTACTAAAGGTACCCGAGTGGCTACAGGTCAGCTGATTATAAATGCTAATCACTGGTAAATACTTTCATAGTGACAACTGGACTGGTGTTGGACCAAACAGCTGGGCATCGCTGCCAAGTTGACAGGGAAAATGAGCCGTCACTGTAACCATGTCAGACACACCAACGCTAAGCCTTTCACAGAGGAGGGGAGCAAAGATCAAGGGCAGCAATGAGAGGAAGCCCGCATGAAATTGCCTGCAGGCAGCTGTGACCCGTGGCTTGATGATGTGTGGGACGGAATGACAAGTTGAGGGAGTGCAGCGAGTGGAGACTGCTTAGATTGTTTTTGAGCCTCTGGCTTAAGAGATCTTATAAGATTGTTTCAAATTGGCTCTGATACGGAACTCCCTCTCCGAAGAGCTGCCCAGCCTCAATGGGGAGTGGCCGGTAGCTGGCTGGCCTGTCCCACGTGCCTCAGACTGGATTCTGCGGCAGTCCTCCTGGACCTAGCACCTGGGGGTGGGGCACGGGAGTCTCTGGCTCTCGGTGGTGACAGGAGATCCAAGAGCTTGGTCAGGAAGATCCTGGGAGCTCATGGTCTAGAAATGCCCTTCCCTCCCCATCCCCAATGCCAGCATCCCGGGAAATGAACTTGAGGTCCCCTTCTGTCAGGCCTTCCAATTACCATAGTTTTGGAACATGCCCCCATATGGCAGTTTCCAGATCTGTGGCATTTTGTTGACAAGTACACCTTACCCCCTATGGAGTCCGAGGGTGGTCTGAGTGGTGAACACACTTGCTGATTGAGAAGGTGGAGGTGTGAGTCTGCCCAGATGTGCCATGAAAGAAAGGCCGGGCAATCTACTGGAAGAACGTCAGCCACTGCAAATCCTGTGGAGTGCAGTTCTGCTGCGACAGGGGTGGGAATCGACTTGATGGCAACCAGCTTCCATCCCATCACCACCCCACCCACCCAGCCCGCAGTCTGATTGCTCAGAGGGGGAAGTGTATCTTCTCAACTCCAGAACCGTCCAAGGACCTGACACCCAACACTGCTGAATGGACAAAGGAGTCGGCGTCCTGCCTCTGGTCCACCTATTGCTTACTTATAAACCCATCGTGCATCTGCTCTGTGGGCTGTGCGCTAGGCTGAGATGAGAATTTCTGCTCCCATAGAGGTGTACAACCTAGGAAGCCCAGGGAATAGCTCTCCTCTGTCTTATGTGGTTGCAAGGAGTCAGAACCAGTTCAATGGTAGTGCATTTGGGTTTTGACTTTCGGTATGTTCTTGCAGTGCCTGGTTTCAACAAAAACTAATTCCTCAACCACTCTCTGGAAGCCTGGCAGGTGAACCCAACCAGAGATAGGCCAGAAGATGGGGCTTGGTGGCCTGCTTGAAAACCCTGGGGAGTCGTTCTATGTTGCACCGGTGGTTGGCGGCTAACGACATGTGTCAGGCAGTGGGGCAAGGCACTGAATGAAGGTGCAGGGCAAAGCAGCCCTAGAACAGAGACAGAATTCACGTTAATCACACAAGTAAAAAACTCATATTGCAAATATCTCAAGGATAAAGGAAATTGAGAACGTATAAGGCAACTTGACCTGCCCGGCTCTTGGGCTGAGGTGTTTACCTTTGAGCATGCTCCTAGGTCCTCAGACGGCGCCCACACATCTGCCCGCCAGTCTTCACATGCGGGGACGCTGCGGCGAGGACAGTGGTCAAGGTTCCACACAGGCATTAGAAAGGTTGAGAACCACTGCTCCAAGCGATCTCCACCAGCCCAAGACTCTGACCCCCAAGGTGTAACCTGCTTCAAGATTTCCTTGACATCCCAATGGTATTGAGACCAAAGCTCAGGATGAAGCATGTGTGCTTATACTGTATACTTTCCAGAGAGCCTGTGTGTGAGCGGTGAGGTAACCCGCTACCCAGAATCAAGAATAAAGGTTATTGGCTTGCACCTGCGGCCTGTGGTTTGCCCAAGGTGCTGGAGAGACCCTACCCTAGGCTGGTGTGATCCATAGAATTAGGGATAGGGTGGGAAAAGTGGCCTTGGGGTTGGACTATAGAGAAGACTGTCACCCTGTTCCTAACCACCCCAGCTGGTTTGGCTATCATTTGTGAGGGATGATTCCCCCGTCTTTTCCAACGCACAGACTTGAGTATCGTCCAGGGTATGCTGAGGAGTAAAGGGGTGGGGATGAGGCAGATGATACTTGCTCTTTGGGCTACAGCTTTTTATCTTGAATGGCTTTTGTCCATTGAAGGAGACAAATGGATTCAGGGAAGGGGGTTCGGGGAGGAGCATCCAAGCGTAGAGGCTGAAGGGGAGCTATGGGAAGGGGATGAGGGGAAGGAGAGGTACAACTGGAGGGGAACAGCAGGGTTTCACCAAGTCTTGCCTTGAAGCATGCACTTGAATCCTCCATGACCCCAAGAATCCTTTGGCAGTTTCTCAAGAGTCTCTCGTGGCTTTGGACTTGTTTGGGTGAATGCTGCCGTTGTTAGGAGCCATCTAGTCAGTGACCTTATGTACAGCGGAAGGAAACAATGCCTGGTCCTGCGTGTCCTCGCCATAGTCCGTGTTTGAGCCCATTGCTGCAGCCACGTGCCGGCCCACTGTGTGCAGAGCCGCCTTCTTTCTCACTGCCTCACCGTCCTCCTCTAGGACATGCTGGATCACTGAAGTCCAGCAGTGGTTCAAGACCTCCCACAGCATTACAGCATATGTACAATCGTAGACACCCTTTCTCCTTGAGGTGAGATCACGAACACTCTACAATGTTGCTTTTACGGTCTTCAGGTCCACCTAGACTGGAAGCTCCCCGAGGGAGGAACTGGCTCCATCTTGTTCTCCATGGTAAGGCCCCGACTCCGGAATAGAGCCTGAGACCGCATATGTTCAGCCGGTGTCTGATGGGCCTGCCCTCAGCGGCTGCACGAGTCCACAGTGCAGCTATGCTGCCAGTTACTAACATTCTCCAAGTACAGCTGCCACCGGCTCTCTCTCCCCTTCCGTCTCCATGAGTTTCTTCCAGGTAGGACTCCAGGAGATGGAAGTGAGGGCTAATGGGGTAACATGGACAGAACTTGGTGATGGTGTGGGGGAGCAGGTGGGGTGGGTACATTAAGGATAACCCTCAACTTCTGGCTCCGGCAGCTGTGCGGAGAGGGGGCACTAGAAAAGGCTTTGGGGAAAGATCAGTTCCCTTTGGGGCATGGTGGGTGTGAGGCGCTTTTACGATGTGGGGGTGGATCTGGTGAGCAGAAACTTGAGGAGATGATGACCGATGGATCTGGTGCTGCCCCAATGCCCCCACTTTTCAGAGTGACGAGGGAGGGCCACAGGGATAACATGTCTGTGTAGTTTTATGGGTATTTCCTGTGTATGCCAAGGGTAGAACTCATTTGAAAAATACTCTAAAAAATTTGAAGTGAGTTGCTTTAAAGAAAATGTGCGGCAGTTAGCCTTATAAGCAGCATGCACACCTGATGTGTCAGGAAGGTGGTATGCAGACAGTGGGACTTCGGGGGGCACTGTTCTAGAGCCCAGTAACTCTCCATGCTTTTGAGCTTCCTGGGTTTTGTCTGTCTAATTTATTGCCTAATGTGGACATATTTTTTAAAATTCCAATTCTATTTTAGCTGGCTAAGGGAGAAGGTGCTGATTTTCACTTGGAGTTAAGGAAAGAAAAACAGAAGGGATCTCAGAGGCACTAGTGGCTCAGGCACTCAGCTGGCCAAGGGGAGATGGGAGATGCAGAGAGAAGTGGACTATGAGTAGAGGTTCCAGAAGAGTGGTGAGTGCTGCTCCCTTCCCTCCAAGCTCTTAAATGCAAGTCTGGAGGTGCGATTAAAAAACTAAAGATTCTATCATAGAGGATAGAAAGGAAAAACTGTAACCAAAAATATTTTTTTTCATTTTAACTTTTGAAAAAAATTAAAAATTTAAATGGTTAGTTAATTAAAACTAAAAAAAATCTGGTTACAAATTTAACTGATTTAAGAGCCAAAGATTCCACGATCTCTTGACTACAAGTGTTTCCACTCTGATTCTTCATCACTGTAGATCCCATGCATGGCAGTTTCTCTTTAGAAAACACCATCTGAGGTAAGTTGTAAGTAATTGGCACTTGGGGTCCCCAGTGGGGCTTGCTGAGGCAGCTGGAGGAGCCCCGGGGAAGCCGGAGGCTCTAAGGAGCCCATACCCGGAGGAGCCCACTGCGGCCTGCACCCCGACAGAGCCTGAGAGGGAGCCTGTGCAGGCTCCTTCCCCAGGCAGTCCTGCTCTTTCCCGGGGACTGCTGGCCTCCTGAGCGTGGCTCCGTGTCAGCGGCCACTTCCTTCTGGACTTCATTCTCCTTTGATTCTGGTCAGCTCCCACCTGCCTTCTCCATGGAGTTTCAGAACCCAGGAATGAAACTGCCAGAGACACCAGCACTCAGACGCCAGGCTGCCCTCATGCCGTCCTCTCGGTCACCCTCCTCCCATTAAGAGGCCTCCTCGCAGGCAGGGTACCTTCTCCAGGCTGTGCCGATGGCCCACGCTGATGCATGTCATCCCCAGCTGCTGGCACGTGCGGTACAGCTCACTCTCCACCTCCTCCGTCAGGGCGCTGGTGGCTTCGTCAAGCACTGAGGGCAGACCCAGAAGAACTCAAGGTCCTTGACTTTTCCTCCAGACATGTAGGCGCTTGGGCTGGGCACCTCCACGAGCCTCTCCGCTGCCAGAGAGGCACTGGCCACTCCTTGAGACCACTCCACCCACCAAGTCAGCTTCCCCAAGGATGCTGGAAAGGTCTGTCCTGGCCACCCTCTGCCTGGTACCTCTCCACCTTGGGGCAGAGTCTGCCGGGTATAAAACCACGGCCCTTTGGGCTGACTGCCTGTCCCCAGCTGCTGCGATGGTGGGGACATTACACACAGTAGAACCTATTGGCATGTCTGGAGGCACCCAGCGCCACTGCCCATAGTGAGGGAGTTAGCCTTTATTTGGTACCAGGCAGGGAAGGGCTGAGGGTCTCCCAGGTAGGGTGCAGAGAGATAGGGAGTGAGATAGTTAAGGTTTGTTGTGCCAACCTGGCTGATAAACACATGTGGGGTTCATTGAAGGGCAGAGATAAGTGGCTCGGTGAGCCTCGTCTTTCTAGTTCTCGGGTCTCTTGCTTTCTGATGGTCGGACGAGGGTGCAGCTGCCTTAGCCAGTTCCCTGCTTCATCTGGCAAGGCTCACTTCCTACGAGACATCCCTGAGGAGAAGCCACATGGACCTACCCTGATGCAGCCCTGGGTGCTGGAGCAGCCACGTGGAGACCCCTGCCAATGCTGTGATGCTTACACGCTCACCAATTCGGGCTTTCCTCCTGCAGTCGGCATCATTGCGTGTGTTTTGTGAGATGGTGGAGGACTTTGTGGATTGGTGTTGGGCATATGGGCTAATGTTGGATTTGTGGGCTTGGGCAGCACTGGGTTGGGATGTTTTCTTGATCTGCACTTACCCTTTATATAAAACACTCTCTTACCCATATGAGTTTCTGTGGATTTGTTTCTCTAATGTACCCAGACTAACACAGGGAGTCACAACCAGGTGTACCCTCCACCCCATACACCTTACTTCAAAGCTTGACATGTGCTCGAACTCACGCTGCTGTGTCAGTGAGAGTACACTGCACCTGCAGCACAGGCCTCACCTGCGAACCTGGGCTGCAGGTAGAAGAGCCGGGCGAAGGAGAGTCTCTGCATCTCTCCTGGAGACAGAACGTCATACCTGAGAGAGTGGGTGAAAGGGACGCTGGAAGCCCTGCCCTGCTGGGCTGAGGCTCTGAAGGGACAGGTGACGGTCTGAGAAGGGCCATGAGCATTTGAGACCGGCCTACGCTTGGGCCTGTCTAGATGGAGTCTGGCCGAGAGCTTGTCTGCAGACGGACTGTCATTCCGCTGTCACCCTCGGCCCACTGCCCACAGGGAAGGCCAGCGCCCTGCTCCTGAGGGCAGAAGCTGTGTTTACCAGAGTGGGTGCCCCCACCCACTAGCGGGCACTGGAATAATTGGGGGGTGGGGGGAAGGAACTGCAAAAGCTTTTCCCTGGATTACGGGGTAGAGCACAAACGGTGCTCATTGCCAATGGGGTGCTGAGTGACTTTTCCTTGAAAAGCAGGCAGTAGGCAAGTAAGTTTGGGAACCTATGGCATGCGGCACTCCTTCAATGGACCATCCACACTGCTGGCCTTTGGGGTCAGGAATCACCTCGACCCCTGTGGTCAGGTGGGTCCCCAAGACCCACTGCCTTTGTCAGAGGTCTGCCTCATGCATACCCCAACCTCCTTACCAGTTCCAATCGACCTGCTCGTCCAGGCCCCCTGTCCTGGTCACCAAGCTGGGCTGTAACAGACCCAGAGGCACAATGTCCATACAAGGGCCCTGCTTCTGGGCTCCTAGTCCCACCAGTCACAGGCAGGTCTGGCCCGTGAGCAGCAGGGAGTATTCTATGACTTGCGCTGTTTAGGAATGCGAGAGCAAAGTGACAATAAATGCAGGCCGATGGGGTCAGCTTTGCTGTTGTTTTCAGGTTCTCTAGTGCCCCCACCACCTGTATCTGCCAACAGCCCCACCACTTGGGCCCTGGAGTTCCCACTTAGCTCCTGCACCCCTGGCCCAGGCTCAGACTTCTAGTCCTGGGCTCAGATGGCAGAGCAGGGCTCTCCTAGTGCCCACTCCTGTAATGGGAAGTGAAAGAAACATGGACACCAAGTGGGCTCTGGAGGGTCTCTGCCTCCACGTACCAGGCCTGCCAACTCCAAGAACCGCAGGATCCGTTCATCATCAGTAGAACCTGCAAGGCAGAGGCAGCTTCTTCAGCAACCAGCTCCTTCCAGCTAGCCAGTCACACACGTACGGCCATGATGGCGCTGACCAGGGCCACGAGAAGGGGAGGCCAGGTGAGGCAGGGAGAAAGCATCACCTTTCTATGTCCAATGGGTGGTTTTGCTCAAGGAAGGGCAGCACAAGGAGACAAAGGAAAGGGACAGGCCCCACAAGAGTGGACAGTTGGGGGATGGATGGACCCAACCGGAAGCCAGCAGCTGGCAGAAAACCACACCAAACTCACCGTCATCGGGTAAATTCTGACTCATAGCGACCCTAAAGGACAAGGTCGACCTGCCCTTGTGAGTTTCTGGGACTGTAACTCTTTACAGGATTAGAGAGTCTCATCTTACACCCATGGAGGGGCTGGTGGTTTCAAACTGCTGACCTTGTGGTCAGTAGCCCCGTGTGTAACCACTATGCCACCAGGGTCCCTTCCAAAGACACACATGGGGCCATGGTCAGGCAGAGTGGAAACAACTGAGCTGGGAAGGCATGACCCAGGGGGCCCTAGCTCACCTGAGTCTGGGTAGATCTCCTTCAGGGGATAAATCACCTGAGAAAAGAAAATCCATGCTGGCCTAGGAGGAACGTCGAGGGAGGTCAGCACCTAAGCCCACTTTCCTCTAGAAACACCCCGGAACTGCCAGGAGGCAGCAGGAAACACCTGGCCAGAGGGCCATGGAAGAGTCTGGGGCTGGCAGAGACAGGATAACTAAGGGTAACTAAGACCTTCAGAAGAATCTGAGGGGAGGGTCCCTGGGATTCAAGCCTAGTGCTTAGTGAACAGATGGGATCTGGCCTGCAGCCCCAGGCGTGGCTCAGGTCTACTGGGGCTGAAAGCAATGTTCTTTACACAGGTTGGTCTCAGGCATGGGGCATTTTCACCCCACCCTTTGCCCACCCAGCAACCACATAGCCAGAGGGCCTGCTATGAGAGGATGGGGAAGGGAGGTACCCCCAAACCTGGCTGACCTGCTCGCGAAGGGTCCCGTCGGTGAAGAAGGGCTTCTGAGGCAGAAACAGCACCCCGTGGGGCCCAAAGTCTGCCAGCATCTGCACGGAGCCTGTGGGCCCACAGAACCGTCCACCCTGAGCTGACCCAGAATGGCCCTGCCCTGCCTCTTCCCTCTACCTCCTCATCCCCTCTCCCCCACAAAAAAGGGCAGGGTTGCACCCCAGCCCAGCCCTCCCTAGTCACGGGGGCAGGGGCAGCTCCCACCTTGTGTGCTTGCCCAGAGGCCGCCCAGCGTGCGCAGCAAGGACGTCTTGCCAGTGCCTGTGTTGCCTGTGATGAGCAGGCTCTGGCCATCAGAGATCTTCAGGCCCAGGTCCTTGATGAGGGGCTTGTCAGAGGAGGGGACACAGATGGAGACCCGCTCCAGGATAAACGCTGTGTCTGCTGGCTCTGCTGGCCACCCCGGGGCCCTGGGGTCAGAGAAGGGGCCGGAGTCAGGGAGAGCAGGAGCATGGGAATGTCCAAGACAGGGGCTTCCCCCTCGGGGGCTCACTGCTGGATGGAGGTGCGGGTGGGGCAGAGCCTGCTCATGACTGGTGCTAATTCCCTACAGCACCAGAGCCTCCTAGAAACACTCGTGTCTGGCCGATGAGGAAACCCCGAGTTGAGTCAGGTGCTCAGTAACCTGCCCAGAGGGCCAGGAGGGGAGGAGGAGGAGGAGGTAATGGAGAGGAGGAAGAGGAGGAGGAGGAGGAAAAGGAGAGGAGGAAGAGGAGGAGGAGGAAAAGTAGAGGCACAGAGGGTCACTCCCCAGACTTCTGTTTTGGTATCTGCGTCCAGCAGAAGGCTTCCGCCAGCTGGAGGAGGACGCACAAGAACACAAATGGATGCTGGGCCAGCAGCATGGACTGTCAGCTCTCACAATGGGTTCCCATGAGATGAGATTTCTTTCAATCCTCCGAGTTCTTCCACTGGCTGGGGCAGCAGGGAGGGGCTCTAGGGCCACCAGGTGATGGCAGATGGACCCTCTCCACTACCGCCTCCCTTCCCTGGCAGCCCCGTGCTCACCTGTCTGAGTCCCACTTGCTCTCATCCAGGTCTTCAGAGTCCTGCGACTTCAGGGACATGTCCAGCAGGGTCTCCTGCAGCTCCCCAATCCTGGGCCAGAATTAACACCTGAGCCAGGACCTGGGGTGGGGGGGTAGGGGTGGCAGGCGAAGACCAGGCCCCGGGTACTGTCTGATGACCACTAGGGTATGGCATGCTGTGCCTTCTATCATTCCCCGGCTTCCCCCGGCTCACCTGTGCGTGTAGCCAGCCACATCCGAGAGCGTGGTGGAGAGGTCGATGAGGCGGCTAAAGCAGCTGATGAGGTAAATGCACACAAAGGCATTCTGGACAAGACGATACCAGTCATCACCAGGCTCAGAGCTGGACACTGGGCCACAGGGGGGAGGGGCAGGCCTGAGGGGCCACCGGGAGGGTGCCTCACCTTGCTGACCAGGGCACTAAGCTCCGTGGGGCTCAGGTCTCCATAGAACCCACTGAAAATGGGGATTGCAATGACAACGTAGCTCAGGATGCTGCCCAGATAGTCAAAAGTGTTGATGCCAACTGTAGAAGACAGACTGAGTCAAGAGACCTGGGCTGCTCAGGGGTTCTGCAGGGGACAGAGCTCCTGGGGTGGGGAGCAAGAAGCTGGGCAGGCAGGTAGGTGTGTGTACAAGCTTGTCCCTGGATCCTCATTCTCCTGAGAATTCTCACAGCAAAGGCAGTGGCTCCCCTGGTGCCTCCAGAGGGAAAACACCCCACAAGTGAGAGGAAGTAGGAGATGAGAGGTGGGAAGGGGACCCATCTCCTGGCTCCCAGGCTCCATCCACCTACTGTACAGCCAGAGCTCCTTGGCCATCAGCTCCCTCTGAGTCTGCAGGAGCCTCTGCAGCCTGCGGTCCGTCCTCATGTGCTCCACGTGCCCTGCTCTGCCAAGAAAGGCGGCGGACAGAGCCTTAGCCAGGCCAGGGGAACCCCTGACCCCTCAGCACATCCTCCTTTAGGTATCACACCCCGCTGAGGACCTAGAACCCATTCATTGCTGCCTGCGTTTCAGCGTCCTGTGTGCAAAAGAACAGGCACTCGAGCAGACAGGGCTAACCTCGTGGCTCTGGCCAGTCACTAGCTGTGGGGCACGGACAGGCTACTTCAGCCTCGGCATCTCTGTTTTCTCATCCGCAAACTGGAGCTAGTGACAGCCACATGGTAGGCCGTTAGTAGTTGCCATTGAGTGGATTCGGACTCATGGTAATGCCACATGGGCAGAAGCGTTTACAGCTGTGACCTTATGGGTAGCTGGGACCACCCATCTTTGGCCAGTAGTCAAGCACCGAACTGTCTGTGCCACCCAGGGATACCCAGCAAGATGGCAGATTAAGTGCTAGAGTTCTGCATATGAAATGCCAGGCACACAAAGGGCCCGCCGTGGTTCAATGAGTGTGCAGTGAGCGGCCCCTCGTGCCAGGCTCTGTGCTTACTGAGCACCCCTGATGGAGACCCCTAGTGAGTCAGGGCTTTCAATGCTGATTTGGGGGAAGCAGATCATCAGGCCTTTCTTTGGAGGCACTAGGTGGACTCCCATCTCCACCTTTCTGGATAGCAGCCAGGCAGGGGATCTGTTTGCACTCTCGAGACTCCGGGTTTTGTTAGCTAGGAGGGGGGGAGGGGTTGAGACATCCTTCTGACAGGGTCAGGCAGGTGCATTGCATTCTCCCCGAAGTCTGGGACGTGCTACACCAGACAGGTCTGCCCATCAAGGGAGCCTGAAAAAGCTCCCTGGGGAAAACGGCCTGGGGCTTCAAGGGCGGCAGAAATTCTCCACCAGAAAAAACGGAGGCAGGAGAGAGCGTCACTTAGGAGGCTGTCAGATTTTACAGACAAGGGCACACAGGCGGCAGGAAAACCTGTCAGGATCGCAGGGCAGGAATCTGCTGGTCCCACGGGCTTTCTGAGCCAAGACTGCAGATGCCATACGCCTAGCCCTGCCCATCCTGGTGTTTTGGTGCCCCCAAGTGGTAGAAGCTGCAAACTGCAGCAGAGACTGACAGGCCAACAAAAGTCCCAGGGCCCTTGGGTCCACACACATGTGATCCAAGGAGTGGCTTCATAGCTTAGACCTTTGGGCCCAAGTTATCAGTTAGAACGCTGATCCCAGAGGCCTCCACTGTCAGGGACTCACTGCCCCGAAGGAAGGGAAGGGATTTCCCAGCACCACTGGACAGCAGCTGAGTGAGGGGAGCAGGCCAGAAGACCATTGAGCAGACAGGCTGAGGGAGTGCCGCCCAGGCCTCAGCAAGCTGATGGGGCTTCCGCTCACATCATTCTTTCAACAAGTTTAGAGCCCCTCTCAGTCAGCCACTAGGACGAACACCACCAGCTGTCTGAGGAGGTCAGCACATAAGCCCAGCCCACCATCCCCCAGAAACAGCTTTAGAATCAACCTTTGGACTAGGGTAAGCAGACAAGGTCAGAGAGGTACAGTGGGAGGCTCACGAAAGTGTAAGAGCACTCAGCCCTCAGCTCGGGGACAAAGCCTGGTGGCTGTGGTGGTGGTAGGTGGGCAGTGGCCGACGTCCTGTCCGTGGGTGCCAGCTGACCTACCTGTAGAAAGCGGCAGGCTCTGCGTTCACCCGGATCTGCATGTGCTTGAACCTGGACAGACCAAAGGAAGCATGCTGGTGACAGGGGAACACAGAGAGGGACCAGGCGCCACCTCAAAACTGCAGCTGTCATCGTCCCATGGGGGATAGGGGTGGGGGCCGCATGGCAGGAGCTCCAGAGCTAGGGCCTGACCCCACCTTTCCCCGAGGAGGGCGTGCCACAGCCCATAGCACCTTGTGCACTCAGGGCCAGGCCTGGACATGGACAAGCAGCAAGGGGCAGTGGCTGGCCTAGGCCTTCCAGGGCCACACTGATCCAACACACGGTGGTTGGCGCGGAAGCATGCCAAGTGGCTAAGGGATGATGACAAAGGCCAAGCAGACACTGTTCTCAAAGCTTCTCATGTATCATCTCACGGATCCCCACCACAATCGGCTCAGTAGGCACAGCACAGCCCCGTTTTCCAGATGAGGACACCACACTTAGAGAGGGCAAGGACCTCACCCAGGATCAACAGGGTGATGCCAGCTGTTCTCCACTCCCATTCCCTTTGCCGCCAAACCAAGGCCAAACTCACCACCACCAGCTGATGCTGACTCGGCGACCCTGTAGGACAGGGCGGAAGTGCCCTGTGGGTTTCTGAGACTGTGACTCCTTACAGGAGCAGACAGCCCTGTCTTTCTCCCGAGAAGCGGCTGGTGTTTTCACACTGCTGACCTTGCAGTTAGCAGCCCAGTGAGTAACCACGACACCACCCAGGTCCCCCCTTTGTCAAAGGCCTGCACAAAAGCTCGAGCAAGAGGCGCACCTGAAATCCCCTTCCAGCTTCTCCTGCTGCACCAGCTTCGCCACAATGGGGCCCATCAGAGTTCTGTTCACCGTGGTCCCCAAGAGGAAGTACCCGAAGATGCTCACAGGCCCGAGCCAGCCGGTGCTACCAACCAGAAAGAGACCTCATCCCCGCGTCCTCCAGGCAGCTTGTCCCATCTCCACAGGCCTCCCGAGTGGGGACATCTGGCACCTGCTCTAAGCCATCAGGGCACCAAGCTCTTGTGATAAACACCATGGGGCCAAAGGCAGAGAAGGAGCCCGAGTGTGCAAGGCATGCAGACTTCCTGAGGTGGAGAGGGGAAGAGGGACAGGGAGCACCTCCCGGACTCTGACCTGAGAGCTGACTCAGCCCGGCCTGTGAGCCGTGACCAGGCTGGTGGGGGAAGGGGTGGAGTTACCTCTGGAAGCACTGGTAGGTGTAGTAACCGAGAGTAAAGGGGGAGATGATCAGCTGCCCGGCCATGGTGCTGAGCTGCCGGCAGAACCGCTCCACGTCCTGGCTGATGCGCTGGTCCCTGAAGACAAGGACATGGGGGAATCGGGGTGAAGGGGCTGGGAACAAGGAGACTGCATCACATGACCTCTTATCCAGCCATGCCCTAGGGAAGATGGTGCTAGACAAAGGATAGTCCCAAGAGGCTTTAGGACAGCGGTTCTCAACCTGTGGGTTGTCACCCCTTTGGGGGTCAAACGACCCTATCACAGGGGTCGCCTAATACATCCTGCGTATCAGATATTTATATTACGATTCATAACAGTAACAAAATTACAGTGACGAAGTAGCAACAAAAATAATTTGATGGTTGGGGGTCACCACAACATGAGGAACTATATGAAAGGGTCACGACATTAGGAAGGTTGAGAACCACTGCACTAAGAGGTGGGGTCATGGGGCCGAGGCAGCAGCCTGGCCAGGGGAAAGGTCCCACTGGACAACAGTGCTCGCTGGGAGGGTAAAGGGTAGACCTCACATGTTCCATGTCACCACCTGAGCCACACGAACTCCTATTCCTCATGCAAGATGTGATGCTGGGTAAGTCACGCGTAGCCTCTGGGCCTCCGTTTGCTCAGCTGTAACACCTCCTATGTGCCAGGCATGGCACTGGGCACCCAACATGAATGGTGCCATTTTAGCCTGACTCCCTCCTCTGAGAAAGGGCTGTCAGCCCATGGTACAGACGGGGAAGCTGGGGCTTAGTGAACATGAGTGCTATAAACCGGGAGGTGACAGCATGGGGACTGGAACCTGAGAATGAATCCCACACAGGACTGAGGATCCCAGCAGCGGTGTGCCGGTACTTCTGGCATGGAAGCTTCCTTCAGACGAAGCAAGTCCAGGACACAAAGTGGACAACAGGGAGCTGTCCCCAAGCCCTGGCCCCTGCTTTCCAGCTCTCAGTAATCTCCATGGGGCCCACCACCAGGTTCTCTAGGGTAAGCGGTTATGCATTGGGCTGCTAGTCTTGAGGATAACAGTTCAAACCACCAGCTGCTCTGAGGGAGAAAGAGGAGGCTTTCTCCTCCTGTAAAAGAATCAGTCTCGGAAACCCACAGGGGAGGGGCAGTTCTACCCTGCCCTATGGGCCATTATGAGTTGGCATAAACTCGATGGCAGTGTTTGAGAAGCCAGGTGGGGGGCCCCTGGACTGGGGTGGGGAGGGCTGGTGCCTACGGGTTATCGATGTCATCTCGCAGCACGTTGAGGGTGTAGTACACGCGGCCCTGGAAGTAGAGGCGATGCAGGTACTCGGTAAGGTCCTTCCTCCAGCTCACGTAGAGCAGGTTACAGATGAACTGGTCAAAGCTCTTGAGCTGCGCAGTAAGGGGTAGGGGTGGAGATGGCTTCCTGCACGCCTTGGCTCAGAGGCAGCCTCTGCCACCAGTTCCCCTCCCACCCCTTCTCCAGAGTGGAGTTCTCTGTCCAGTCAGTACTTAGTTTGTTGGATGTGTCGGCTCCTGGGCTTTGCCTTCCTCATTCACTCCTGTGTTCAGCCCTCCAGCCCCTTCCTGAATTCCTTCTCGGTCTCCCCTGAGAGCTGCTCGAGGCTGGGCACGGCCTCTGCCCCACCCCCACCCCCACCCCCAAAGCCTGGAGCGGGGCCTTCACATACAGGTGCTTCCTGTCCAATGGCCTATTACGGTCTGGCCAAAAGTGTGGGGAGGAAGAGCCTCTTCATGCACCCTCACCGGGCACCTATGCTAGGCATCAGGGCAACAACTAAGCTCTTGGCATGGCCAGGAGACAGACAACTACAAGGGCAGGAGGAGCCCTATGGCTCTGTCCCACCAGCCTTCCTCTCAGGAGTCCTGTAGGAAGAGATGCAGGGAGACAGGGAGACCTTACCGTGGAGTTGAGGACGATGAGCACAACTGCCAAGAATGTCAGGCTCTGAAACCCGTCGGCATCTTTGGTCCCGAGGACCTGGTAGTACTGGCTGGGGACCAAGCCGACCTGGTAGATCACCAGTTGTTCTGGTGGCAGCGGCGGTGGCAGCAGTGGAGGAGTCAGAAAGCAGTGATGAGGAGTGAGAATAGGAGGTCCTGGGTCCCTGCCTCCCTACCCCCCCACCCCTCCGAGAGAAGGGCAAGGACTCCCAAACCAGGGCTGCCCTTCCCCTGCATCACTCACTCACCCAGCAGGGCCACACAGAGCAGGGTCAGGAACATCAAGGCATTCTGGGATGACCAAGAGGGAAACAAAACCTTCTGTATCTGCAGGAACCGCTGGAGGAAGTGCAGGCCTAACCTGGGCCTGAAGGGAGAAAGAGAAGCAGAGGGAAGCCCCCGAGGCAGGTGAGCCGGAGAGAGCACTGGGCAGGTTTGTTCACGTTGCTCTGTTGGGGAGCCTAGAAGGTTCTTTAAGTTGATAAAGGCTGGAAGAGGTTACTGACTGACAGCTCAAACAGGTCAATAAGACTTTGGCTGCATGCTTTCTATGGTGCACAACCAGGGGAAAGAGGCCCCCTCGAGCAAAGGTTTTAAGATCCTGCCAGGCTAGAGCAGCGGTTCTCAACATGTGGGTGGTGACCCCTTTGGGGGTCAAATGACCCTGTCACAGGGGTTGCCCGATTCATAACAGTAGCAAAATTAGTTATGAAGTAGCAACAAAAGGGACTCGGGGAGGAGACAAGTCAGCATGCAGTGTAGCAACAATGAAACATACCACTTTCCTCTAATGCTTAAATGCTTCCTCCTCCGTGATCCCAATTCTACCTTACAAATCCGGCTAGACCAGAGGATGTACACTGACTGGTACATATAGGAACTGGAAACACACAGAATCCAGGGCAGATGATCCTTTCAGGACCAGTGGTGAGAGTGGCAATACCGGAGGGTGGATGGAAGGTGGGGTAGAAAGGGAGAACCAATTATAAGGATCTACATATAACCTCCTCCCTGGGGGACCAACAACAGAAAGGTGGGTGAAGGGAGATGTCGGACAGTGTAAGACATGACAAAATAATAATAATTTATAAATTATCAAGGGTTCATGAAGGATGGGGGAGCGGGGAGGGAGGAGGAAAAATAAGGAGCTCATATCAAGGGCGTAAGTGGAGAGCAAATATTTTGAGAATGATGAAGGCAACGAATGTACAAATGTGCTTGACACAATTGATGTATATATAGATTGTGATGAGTTGTATGAGCCCACAATAAAATGATTAAAAAATAATAATTATGATCTACATATAACCTTCTTCCTGGGGGACGGACAGTGGAGAAGTGGGTGAAGGGAGATGTTGGACGGTGTAAGATATGACAAAATAATAATAATTTATAATTTATCAAGGGTTCATGGGGGAGAGGGGAGCAGGGAAGGAGGAGGTAAAATATGAGGAGCTGATACCAAGGGCTCAAGTAGAAAGCAAATGTTTTGAGAATGATGATGGCAATAAATGTACAAATGTGCTTGACACAATGGATGGATGTATGGATTGTGATAAGAGTTGTATGAGCCCCCAAAAAAATGATTAAAAAATAATAATTTTATAGTTGGGGGATCACAACATGAAGCACTGTATTAAAGGGTTGTGGCATTATGAAGGTTGAGAACCACTGGGCTAGAGCAAAAGAAAGCAATGTGGCAAGAGCAGTGTGTTAGTTGGGGTTCTTTAGAGCAGGGGTCCTCAAAATGCGGCCGCTGAGGACATTTATCCTGTCCACCGGGTGTTTTTTGACCCATTTGTTTTTTTACTTCAAAATAAGATATGTGCAGTGTGCATAGGAATTAGTTCATAGTTTTAGTTTTTTTTTAACTATAGTCTGGCCCTGCAACGGGTCTGAGGGACAGTGAACTGGCCCCCTATTTAAAAAGTTTGAGGACCCCTGAAAACCAGGCTGGCACAATAACCCTAACCATCACAAGCATTAAAAGGGAGGAGATGAAATCATGACTTGCGGATGATTTGATCTTGCATGACACAGGACATGCAAGCAAACCAAGGAAACTGTTGGAAAGGACAGCCGTGTTAGACAATGTTTCTAGAGACAGATTAACAGACAGGGTCAACAACCTGCAACTAACAACAACCTGCCAGCCATTACCAACTGGAAATAGGGACAATGAAATGGTACTAACCAAAGTCGGAAAAGTATAGGAAAGCTCCGACACACCCAAGAATTCATTTTTAGGAAAGAAGACTGAAATGGGCAGAAATGGCCCGACTCACTATTACAAACAATTCCACGCTAACTAACCAAACATTGCCAAACTCATTGCTATGGAGGGGATGCCGATTCCTAGCGACCCTCTAAGACAGGGCAGAACTACCCCTGTGAGTTTCCCAGACGCTAACTCTTTATGGGAGTGCAGTCCCATCTTTCTCCAGAGGAATGGCTGGTGGTTTCGAACTGCTGACCTTGCAGTTAGTATCCCTAAGTGTGGCCACGGCACCGCCAGGGCTCCCTGTAGGAAGCCAACACATAGGCAGTATGCCACCTGGACTCCTAGTTTAACAGTCGTTGTCAAGACACACAATCAAATGCCAATCAAAAACCTAGCAGGACTTCTCAAAGATGCCTGAAGAGTTTAGGGTAGTTTTCTGGAATAGGGAAGGGAGAGTACAAGTCATCAGATAGGGACAGAGTAATGACGAAGGGTGGTAGTAACGCAGGAACAAAAAGACCCATGGAACTGAGAGACAGGAACATAGGTCTATGCTTATACAGGCACATGACCAAGAAAGGGCACCTTACTACTACTACTTGCCAGCACGTATTAAACACACACTATGTAAGGAAGGCTTCCGTGAGCCGGTGCATCTGAATGATGGTCTTGTTGAAGAATGTTGGAAGTTCCATGGACGACCAGAACAGATGTGTCTTGGGAGAGATACAACCGGAAGGCTCCTTACAAGTGAGGATGATAAGACTGCATTTCACGTGCCTGGGACACGTTATCAGAAGAGACCAGTCCTGGGAGAAGGACATCATGCTTGGTAAAGTAGATGGTCAGCGAAAAAGAGGGAGGCCCTCAAAGGGATCAATTGACACAGTGGCTCCAACCAGCGACTCAACACAATGGTGAGGGTGGTGCAGGCCCGGGCAGTGCTTCATTCGGTTGTGCACAACGCCACCTAACAACTCATGTACCCAGACCTGTTCTAGGTGCTTTACATGTATTAACTCATTTAATCCTCACGATCCTCAGCGACGTAGACCAGATATTTACTTACAGATGAGGACATATGCAAACTTACCCGACCACCCATCGAGTTAGGGCTTGTACATAATGCAGTCTGCGTTCTTTACAGCTACATTGTACAGCTTCTCTAGTTACCAACAGAACTGATCTCTTATTCTAATTTTACTGGGATCAAATGTAGATATAGAGTTTGCCATTTTAACCGTACAATTCCACAACATTATTCACCAGGTTGTACTACCACCACGATTCATTTCCACAAGCTTCACCAGACTACAAACTTGGTACGTGGTCAGTGATGACTTCTGCCCTCTCCTCCCTGCAGTCCCTGATAAGCATGAATAAACATTTGTCTCTATGCACCTGTCTACTGTAGCTGCTTAATGTAAGTGGGGTCATACAGGACTTGTCTTTTTGTGCCTGACATCTGTCACTCAGCATACACTGTTTTCAAGGTTCCCACACATCATCACACGTACCAGGACTTCACTTCTCTTTGTGGCAGATTAAAATTCCATTGTGGGTTTGAGGGGGGACCCTCCCAAATTCCACGGATCTTTTAAAACTCAGTTTGCCCCCAAACTCCCCAAACCCCTTCTAGAAACCGCATTTTGTTTGTCTAGTCATCTGTGAATGATTATACCCATCAGAGAGTGTCTCCTTCTGTGAGGGAACTTTTTCCTGACCTTCTTATCGTCCTGGACTCATCTATAGCTGTCCTTTGGTGATTAGATGATCTCTCTCAGCGTAACACCCGCCAGGTTCATCCGTTCTCTCAAATGCCTCATCATGATTCTCTCATGCAGTCTAGTATTCTAGTGTGTATAAGCACCATGCTGTACGCGGTTGGGCACGTTAGGTTGTTTCCATAGTTTGGCTAGAATGGATAAAGTGAGGAGGGATGTTAACCAACTCCACCAAACTCACTGCCATCAAGCTGATTCTGACTCACAGCGACCCTACAGGAAGGGCTAGAACTGCCTTGGTGGGTTTCGGAGACTGTACATTTTCACGGGACTCGAAAATCTGATTTCTCTCCCTCAGAGCAGCTGGTGGTTTTAAAGTGCTGACCTTGCGGTTAGCGGCCCAATGGGTAGCCCCTTATGAACCCAGGCTCCTAGAGGAATGAACATAGGTATGTATATAGCTATTCATGTCACAGCTCTTATTTCCTACTACTCGGGGTCTTCTAATTCCATTTCCTATGGCCTTAGCCCCCTCGGACAATCCGGGTAGTGGGACGGCTGGATCATTAGGGTAACTCTCGTTCTAATCTTTTCAGGAAGTTCTCTAACGTGGTCTCCGTGGTGGTTGTATCACTTTGCAGTCCACTATACAAATAAACTTTTAAAACACCACATGGATTCAACACTTTGGCGTGAAGGGCTTTGGGAAGTGTGAGTGGTTTGGAGCGACTGCGCTGCAGCAGAGGGACCCTCTGGGGTTGCCAGGAGTTGGACTCAGCTCTAGGGCAACAAGCTTGGGTTTTCTCTCTCGTTTCCTTTTCGAATGGTGTTGAAATGGTGAGGGATGTCTCACATAGGAGCCGAGACTTACACATTATAAGGGGCTGGGGGGTGCATGAAATTGGCTAAATAAGAAGTAAATATTTTTGTTTACCCCACTGCCATGGATTAAGTTAAAACTTGGAAAAAGTACTTACAGAATGCAAAAGCAACAAGAGGTTAACATATGGACCATAAAAGGAAGCCCAGTTAAATCACATGACAGGAAGTCCACAGAAAAGGAAAAAATGATATATAAGCAGGCAACTCAAACAGGAAAACCCAAAGAAGTAAGAAAAAAGAAAAATCAACCCACTGCCACAGAGTCGATTCCAACTCACACCAGGGCACCACCTAATTATACCCATCAGATTGGTGTTTTTTTAAATTTAAAAACAAATGGCAACAAGTTTTGGGGTGGTATGAGGAAATAGCCTTTCTACACCACTGGTGGGACGTGTTAAACCGGTCTGGCTATTCCAGAGTACCATCTACCAGAATTAGGTATGACCCCCCCCCCAAAAATTAAAAACAACAACAACGAAAAAACTACTGCTGTCAAGTCAATGCCACCTCACAGTGACCCTAGGAGTGGAACTGCAACCCAGGTTTCCGCGGCTGCAAATCCTTCTGGAAGCAGGCTGCTTCAACTTTCTCCCAGGGAGTGAGCGGCTGTGGGTTTGAACCACTGACCCACTGCACACTGGGGCTCCACCAGAGGATGCATCACCCAGAAAAACTCACCTCTTCCCACGGAGAGAAAAGTGCCAGATGGAGGTGGTGGTGGTGGTGGTGAGGAAATGGAAGCCATCTAGGCATCCACCACCAGGGGACCGAGTGAGGATTTTATTGATTGATCGCAGGGGGTCAGGTCATGAATGTGGCAGCAGGTCAGAAGTTTAAAATGAGATTTACCTACAGCAGCATATTTACGGTACAAGTTTCAAGACAATAATGGTGTGTGCTCACTATTATCTAAACTTGGTGGTTTGATCTCACCCCGTGGAACCACGGGAGAAAGGCCTGGCAACCTGCCCCTGGAGATTACAGCCGTGAGAAAACCCCACTGAGCAATTCTACTCGGGAACACCTGGGGTCATCATGAGTAGAACAGACTTAACCGGAAAAGGGTTATCCCTAACAAAGGAGGAATAGAAGAGATTTTCAAATATTCACAGTATATTGTCATTTATAAGAATTCAAACCCACATTGGCTAGGGTGGTGGCCCCTAGGCTGGCATTCTAACCCTCCCAGACGTTCCACGGGAAAACAATCTGGCAATTGCACCCAGGAAGCTGATAATCAAACCAAGCTCACTTCGTTCCAATTTAAAGCAATTCTCTCTAGGTCTCCACCTGTGACCTCCTCAGAAAGATTACAGCCTCGGTAACCCTGTGGGCACTCCTACACTTTCTTTTCCCAGGTGTTAGTATCGGCTTGAAGGCATTTAACCACAAAATGTATTTTTTCAAGGTACTGCGTACACAGACTTTAAACCAAAAAACGCACTGCCATCTTGTTGTTGCAAACCCAAACCCACCCTAAGAGGTCAGGGTGGAACGGCTCCTCCGAATGTCCGAGAAAGTACCTCTTTTCCAGAGAAGAAAGCCCCGTTTCTCCCGCGGAGCGGCTAGTGGTTTCAAACTGCTGACCTTGCAGTTGGTGGCCCAATGCGAAACCACGACGCCACCACCAAGGTTCCTCCGAACTTTTACAGTCCAGCAAAGTGGACTGTAAAGACAGTCATTTAAAGGCACCTCGGTGGGTGTCTGACAAGAAGAGAGAAATGGGATTGAGAAGAAGGAAGGTGGGAAGATAAACCGGAGACCTTGCGCTGACTCCCGTAATGTCCAAAGAACGGAGAGGAACAAACAAAACAGCAGTCCGAGAGCGGACCCCACACGGCCCGCAGCCGGGATGCCGGGGACGGCGGGGTCGAGGGTCAGTGCCGGTGCCAGCGGCCTCGCTGGGCGGCGGGCGCCCCTCGGGGGCTCCGCGCTCGGCGGCCACTGAAGCCCGGTGCTGGCGCCAGGAACGCGGAGTGGGGCTGGAGCGCCCTCTCCGCAGAGTCCCGAGGAGGCTGTCCGCGGCCCGGCCCTCCCCTCCGTTCCCGCGCCGACCCGCTCACCTCGCTCCCGCCCCGGGCGCCGCCGCCGCCGCCCGGACAGCCATGACCCACGACCCGACTGACAGGGCAGCCCCGGGCCGGCGGAGTGCCGGGAGCGCGCGGGGCGCGAGGGGCGGGGCCCCGGGACCACAGAGATGCCGGCGGATAGAGAGGAAGGCCGCTTCCGGAAGCGCTGGCTTCTTTAAGAGAACCAACGAGTGCTGACCGTCGACGAGTCAGCCAGCCGGCTAGAGTGCCTGCCGATGGCGCTACGGGGGTTCTCATTGGAGGCGAGGTAGCCGGGAATTTCAAGCTGGGCTTTTTCTAACTAGTATTTTAGACTTTGGAGCGAGTACGCTTTCTCAAAGGTTTCTAGAAGGATCTTTGAAAAACATAAATCAGAATAAACCACTCTTCTACTTAAAACATCTGAGGGTGGTGAGCTCCACACTTTTCAATGGCATGCGTGGATCAGCCGGTCCCCCGCCATCCCACCCCGTCGTCCACGTTGCTACAGTTACGCTCGCCTTCTTTCTCTTTACGTAAGGTTATATTTTGTTTCTGCCTGAGGGTCTTTACATCTGGTTTTGCCTGTTTCACCTACTCCTCTTGTCTACAACTTTGCCTGGCTCGTTCTCCTCATGAGCTCAAATGCTGTCTGCTCGGAGATGTCCTCGCATCCCCTGATCTAGAGTTTGGTCCGTTTGTCCCATCATTGCCTTTTGCATTGCACTTTTGTTTTCCTCAAATGTTTTTACTTATTTATTTGGGTTTTTAAACTTTTGATTTCAGAAGCTCGGATAGCTTCAATATCCAGTTGTAACAAAATCAGGACCCCTTACAATACATTAGATTCCCAAAAGGTACCCACTAAAGTACAGTACAATGATCACATTCACTACAGGCAAAGTATAACACAAATAATGCAAAATTGGTGACCCTGGTTTCCTACAAGTTCACCCTTTACCACTAGGGCCTGCGGCCTGGGCTACGGAGCGGGGCTGAGTGCACAGCCACCCAGGGTTCTGCAGAACCAGGTACTGGGCCCCTGAGACACCACATGTTGCTAATACAACTAGCTCTGGAAATAAGACACAGGAGTGTGATATCCAGGGGCGAGTTTTTAAGTACGGTGCACATGGGACAGGCCCCCAAGAGTTTGCCAAGTTAGATTTGGGGCATATTTGTGTTCCCTGACATCCAAAGAGAGCAGCAAGGTCAGCATGGCTTGTCGTTATTCTGGGGGCCCCGGGTCGCTGGCTCTTCCCTTAAGTTGTGCTACCCAGACCTCCACTTCCACCAGCAGCGCCACTGCCTCGCTTCTGCCTCTTTTCCTTTCAGCGGCCCCCAGACCCATACTGCCGCTGTTGGGTTGGGCCACCTTGATGTCGCACTTGCTTCCACTGACGGTGTGAAACTCTTTCTCCAGAACGTTCTTCGCAGGTTCTTCTCCTTTACTGGCGATGAAAACAACATCATCTTTCGTTGGACTTTGGATCCCATGGGAAGCTCCATCCAATCTCCCCAAACCCACCGTACGCCCTGATCATCTCCTTGGTGGCTTCAGGACTCAGACCTCCAAGGGGCCTCTCTCAAGACACATTTGTTCGTTCTTCTGGCCGTCCATGGTCTGCTCGGTGTTCTTTGCCAACACCGAGGAGCCCTGGTAGCTTCCGTGGACATTAAAATGGAAGCCTTGCCAGGTTCGGTCTTTTCACCATTGATCATGCTTGTTGCTTACTGGTTCATTCAGGAGGGCGTTTGTTTGCTTTGCGTTGTAGTAAGCCGTAGCCTTTCATCTTCATCAGTGAGTGCTTTCTGAGTGGTGTCATCTGCACATCGCAGGTTGTTAACGGGTCTTCCTCCAATCCTGATGCCACACTCTTCTTCATTGGGTCCAGCTTCTCGGATTATTTGCTGAGCATACAGATTGAATAAGTCTGGTGAAAGGCTACAACCTTTCCCGATTTTAAGCCACACAGCATCCTCTTGTTTTCTTTGAAAGCCTGCCTCTTGATCTATGTATAGATTCTGCATGGACACAATGACCTGTTTTGGAAGACTCATTTTTCAGTGTGATTATCCATAGTTTGTTATGATCCACACAGTCAAATGTCTTAGCATAATATATAAAACACAGGTAGGGATCTTTATGGTATTCTCTATTCTTGGCTTTCAGCTAAGATCCATCCACCTGACATCAGCAATGATTTCTCTACGTCCACATCCTCTTCTCATTTTGAATCGTGCCACATCTGCAAATAAATGAAAGTCTTGAAAGCTTTACACCATCCATCCACATCATTAGGTCTAGTCTGCTGTCTACTAAATGTCTACTAGGTACCAAACACTAGATGAACATGCATCACTTGTCCTTATGGGACAAGTCTAGCTGGGAAGGACACCCAGTTGACAATTACAATTGTCTTTGAGAAATGCTATGAGGAGCCCTGGTGGTTTAGTGGGTGATGCATTGGGCTGTTAATTGCAAGGGCTGTAGTTTGAAACCACCAGCTGCTCCTCAGGAGAAAGATGAGGCTTTCTACTTCCACAAAGACTGACAGTCTCCGAAACGCATAGGGACAGTTCTACCGTGTCCTAGAGGGTCACCATGAGTCTCAATCAACTCTATGGAAGTAAGTGAGTGAGTGACGGCAAAGGTGCCAGATCACCGTGTTTCTTCACTTTTGCACAGTCATGTTGTAGGCTGAATAAGTCACTGTTATAGTTGTGTGGGTGGGTCGCTGCCCTGTACATTTTATAACGTCAAGACACATTCTTGCTTCTACACACTAGATGGCAGTAGTATCACCTAATTGTCACAATCCAAAAAAAATATTTATGCACACAAATGACCTAAAGCAACAACAAAACACACCTTGAGCAGATTCCAACCAGTAGCACCCACACACAACCAAATGTCTAAATGAGGTCTTCTCATTGACAACCACGGTCCCTGAGCAACAGAGAAGGGGGGTTCAACCCAGGACGAGGAAGAGAGGAGTCTAGAAAGGCATGTACAGGATGAGATATTGGAATGTCTTCAAGATGGTAAAGAGTTTAACTTACTCTTCTGACTTACCTAGTGTGTTTTTGTAACTTTGAAAAATCAAAGAAAAACTGGACATACTCTTACAGAAGGGTCTCGGGGAGGAGATGAGCCAGTCAGGGTGTAGTATAATGTCAATGAAACATACAGCTTTCTTCTAGTTCTCTAATTCTCCACCCACCACCACTAACATGACCCCAACTCTACCTTACAAATCTGGCTAGAACAGAGCTTGTACAAGGGTACAGATAAGAGCTGGCAACACAGGGAATCCAGGACAGATAAACTCCTCAGGACCAATAGTGTGAGTAGTGATACCAGGAGGGGAAGGGGAAGGTAGGAGGAGAAAGGGGCAACCGATCACAATGATCTACATATAACCCCCTCCAAAGGGGATGGAGAACAGAAAAGTGGGTGAAGGGAGACTGCCAATGGTGAAAGACATTAAAAAAATAATAATTTATAAATTATGAAGGATTCATGAGGGAGGGAGCGAGGGGTAAAATGAGCTGATACCAAGGGCTCAAGTGGACATGTTGTCAGGAGGGACCGGTCTCTGGAGAAGGACTTCATCGAGGAAGACCTTTGACAAGACGGATCGACACTGCTACATCGAGGGGCTCACACATGAGAACAATTGTGAGGATGGCACAGGACTGGACACGGGGTGCCTGTGCATTGAAACCGGCTCTGGGATCCCTAACAGCAGCAACTGTTTAAATATCCAACCAGTGGGGCAGCTTATAGAGCAGCGTTCTCAACCTGTGGGTCCCGACCCCTTTGGGGGTCCAATGACCCTTTCACAGGGGTCGCCTAAGACCATCCGACAACACAGATTTGCGATGGTCTTAGGCATGGAGACACCGCTCCTCTACCCATCTGCAGCCTGGCCCGCCCACTTGCAGATACGCCCATATACGAGCGTGGACTGTTAGCCATGCTACACCATGCTTCAAGACAAAATGTCATTTATTTGTTATTAGAAATAAATATTTCACAATATAGAATGACATATTGCTTTTGTGATGAATCACTATGCTTTAAGGATGTTCAATTTGTAACAATGAAAACACACCCTGCCTATCAGATATTTACATGATGATTCATAACACTAGCAAAATGACAGTGATCATGTAGCAATGAAAATAATGGTATGGTTGGGGGTCACCACCACATGAGGAACTGTATGAAAGGGTTGCGGCCTGAGGAAGGGTGAGAACCACTGTAGGGTTGTCCCTAGGTAATCATCTTAAAACATTTCCTGAGGGCTGCTGAGGGACTTCCTGATAAGGGTCTGGTGTCGACACCCTCCCCGAGGAACATTCTTTCCATATCTTCAGTTTAACCAGATTCTGCTCCTCCTGTGGGGGGCTTTGTTAGGCTCTTGAGTCTGTCCGAGGGCTTCACAGTTCTGAGGAAAACAAGCAACACAAGATGAGGATGCTGTACGGCTGCCTCTAGGAGTTGGAACTGACTGGAGGGAGGGCCCCTAGCACCGAAGTGTCCTTTGGACTCAGACGGAGCCTCTTATTCCGACAGGAGTCAAGTGTCTCACCCTTGGGCCCCTCTCGCCCCCTGACACACACAGAAACCACCCCCAGCCTCTGCCCACCGAGAAACCAAAGTAGCAAAACAAGAAGCAGCAGCAGCAGAAGATGAGAATCCATTCACTGCTCGGTAAGTACTTCTGGAGCGCCTTCTATTGCCGGTGCCAGGCTGTGTTCTAGGTGCCAACGATCCAGAGCAGTCTCAAAGCAAGTCCCTACCTACCTGGAAGGAGCTTGGCAACATGCTCTGTGCCATGTCAGCCACAAAAGAAACATACTGTGGGACTCCACGTATGTAAAGCATCAAGACAAGGCAGGTGTTCAGAGACCGAAGGTTATTTGTGTTTACCACGGGTGGGCAGAGGGCGGGGAAAGGAAGGCTCGTGGCTCAGGGGATTTGCATTGAGAATGACAAAATCCTAGAAAACAGACACAGTCCTGGTGGCCGAACCAACCCACCTTCCTAGAGCATCTGGGGAT